TCTTCAGCGGTTGTGTCGGGAAGGTGAGCATCCTAGAATGCCAATTTAATAGAAGAAAGTATTCTTGCATTGAGGGAGTACTTGAGTGGGGGCCCAATGTCCTTCTGCTACCTTAATACTAAATCTATAAATATAGGCTATAAAAATAGATCTATTTCCCCATCCTCATATAAATATATCTGCATATGTACATGTCTTTATGTAGACCTGAACCTTTTTCTTAAAGGCACCAAATTAGACTGAAACAGTTGTATTACTGACAACTTGTGTGCAGCCATATGCTAATTATACAGACATGTTTAAACCAGTTTTTATTTTTTTTAGTTAACTATATAAGAGAGCTTCAAAAACCTCATGGAAAACATGGAGCTAAAAAATAATGAAATTATCTCATAAACTGTTTGAAGTCCCCTTGTATAAACTGGAATTCTAGTAGTTATGCTTTTTATGTACCCTCATATAGTTGCCCATCAGTTCTTATCTAATGGCTTTAGAGCCACCGATAATCATTACCTAAAGCCATTATTTCATTATCCAAAACCCACTTTCTGCCTTCGAGTTGATGGTCCAACTCCTATTGATCCTACATAGCGTTTCCAAGAAGGTAATTCTTTATGGGAGCAGACAGCTTCATCTTTCTGCCTAGGAGTAGCTGGTGAGTTTATTGCTAATGGGCTGTCACTGTTTTATAAATATTTTAATGATTATAACCAAGAATTTTAAGAATAGAAATAGTTCATAATGATATTTCATATTAATTAAAAAGTTTTAATTAACTTTAAAATATTTACATTTGAATCTCATGCTTAAAATTCTGATTCCTAACTATAGGAGCAAATCACTTACTTAGTTTGCTCTATAATATGTTTACATTTATTAGATTGTAGTACAAGACCAATTGGATCTACAAGTTTTATTAATATTATTATTTTCTTATTAGATTAATATAGTGCTGAAATTAACACATTTACCTCCTCTGCCAAGTTATGTGCTTGATCTTTGTAAGTTTCCACTTGACTATACATCCCAGAGATTTTATATGATGCAAGGAATTGTAATTGCAATGACAACTGTAACCAAGTATACACAAGGTGCAAGATTCCTTTGTTCAGATGAAGCGTGCCCACTTTCACAAGGTAAATATTAAAATGTAAGATAGAAGCATTAAAGAACTTATTATTTAATCCTAAATCATGTTTGTAATTAGTTATGAAAGGTCCACAGAATAGAAAAATGGAATAAAATTTGGTACGCCCTAGTGTTTATGTTGACTTTGTATCATCTTGAAATGTTTCCTTTTGAGGTTGTTCCACTTACTAACAAGTGCTCCTGTAACACTGACATCACACAGCAATGCAAGAGCATGAACATGTTCTTCTCACACCTTATTTTATGATTGGTTTTGCTCATGATTTTCCATCGCCATACAATGTCCTTTTCCCAATCATTTGGCTTAGTAACAGTTCATTCCTTCTGCAAGGAATCTTTCCTATTTGTCCTCTTACTGCAAGATACTCCTCTTCTATCTGCCTCAACACTCTGCAAATGACTAAGCACTGTGCTACTAACTGAAAGGTTGGCAGTTTGAGTCCACCCAGAGACTTCTCAGAAGAAAGACGTGGCAAAATCGGTGACTTTGCCTTTGTGACTGATCACACTTACACTAAGCACCAGATCAGAAAGATGGAAATGAAGATTTTTAAGGGCTTTAAACTTTGGCCTGGGGTGCCCGGTGCCCTCTGCCCCGGTACTTCCTCCAGAGACACCCAAGGTTAGAGAGGTTGATGTTGAGCAACATACTTTGGTGAAATACCTGATGGAACTAACTGTGTTGAACTACTACTCCTTCTCAGATTGCAGCAGGAGTTTTTTGCTTAGCACTGAAAATTCTTGATAATGGTGAATGGACACCAACTGGGCAGCATTGCCTGTCATACACGAAGAATCTCTTTATCCTGTTATGCAGCACCTGGCTAAGAATTTAGTCATGGTGAATCAGGGGCTTACAAAGCACATGACTAGCAAGAACAAGTATGCCACATCTAAACATACTAAGATCAGCACTCTAGCACAGCTGAACTCTGCGATAGTTCAAGATCTAGCCAAGGCTGTGGCCAAGGTGTAACTTGTGAATTTGAGTTGGAATATTTTAATATCTACAAATAAAATTGGCACTATGTGCTATCTGTATATATTATGATACACATATTTAATAGTCTACAGCTCTTTTTTATTTTTATAACTTAACTCATTTGAATGTGATTGCTTCATTTGTTGGCAACCTACTTCCAAAAGACCCCAAGCATGAACACCATATGGAAGACAGTCTTACTGCCAGACACAGGTAGTCACCATGTGTCAACATCCACTTAATGGCAACCGGCCTTTTTTTCCCCCCTTCTTAATTTTATTAATGCAGTTGTCACATATTACAATGATCTGTTTAAGCACCATTGAGCACAACGCCTAGTAAGAAAGAGGAGTCCAAGAAATGTTCATTGAGCTGCTGTTCCCACATGCAAAATTCACTCAATCATACTTTGAATTACACTAATTTTAAAGGATTAGAAATGAATGGCTGAATCAAATTTAGCTAACCTGTTTTCTTTCAGGGTTCCAATATATAAGAGTGCATGTGCCTGGTGCTACAGAATCTGCAACAGTAAGAAATGACTTCTTGTGTAAGCTGTGTGCTTCTTCACTTCAAGAAGACAGAAAATTTAGAGTACTTGGTGGTAAAAATGCTTTTGTATTTTTAATTGCAGTATTTAAAATAGTGATTGTAACAATGTGGAAGTTGACTTAGATATTATATTCTAATAACTCCCTTTTTTTTTTTACTCTTAAGATAAACAGATTGTTGAAGTAATTTCCACAAAGGCACTCCGGGCTTTTCAACGAGTTTCTAACAACCAGCCATTCAGGTTTCAATCTCTTATAATATTCCTGAGAGGTGAGTAAATTGCACTTGAACTCAAAATAAATTGCTATAAAATATTTAATTGATTTATCCTGATTTTGAATTATTTTTTTAACTTTATTTTTGAGAATCTTGTATGTTTTTATTCCTGAGGGATTTTTTTTTAAACTTTTTTTTTTTAATTTAAAAGATCATTTAATTGGGGACACTTACAGCTCTCTTTTTTTTTTACTGTCTCATTTCTTTTTCTTTTAAAGATCATTTTATTGGAAGCTCTTACAGCTTTTATAACAATCCCTACACCAATTCTATCAAGCATATTTGTTCACATATTGCCACCATTATTTTCTAAATATTTACTTTCTAGTTGAGCCCTTGGTATTAGCTTTTCCCCCCCCCTCCCTCCTGCACTCCACCCTCGTAACCCCTTGATGTTATAAATTATTGTTTTCATATCTTACATCACCCACTGTCTTCCTCCACGGTTTCTATTGTTCATCTCCCTGGGGTGGTGAGTGGTGGTGGTGATGTGTTGATTATTACAATTGGTTCCCCCTTCCTCCCCTCCTCTCCCTGTCTTCCCCCTCCACTCCTGGTATCACTACTCCCATTCCTGTTCCTGGATTCCGTGTGTCCTGAGCATTTATCTCCTATCTGTACCTGGGTACATGCTCTGGTCTAGCCCTCAGTGAAAGGCAGGAATGGGGTCATGATATTGGGGGGTGAGGAAGCCTTAAGAAACCAGAGGAATATTATGTGTTTCATTGTTGCTATACTGCGCCCTGGTTGACTCATCCCTTCCTTGTGACCCTTCTGTGAGGGGATGTCCCATTGTCTACAGATGGTTTTGGGGTCTCTGCTCTGACCCCCCTCATTCTCAACAGTGTTTTATTTGTTTGTTTGTTTGTTTGGGGTCTTCTGATGCCTGTTACCCGATCCCGTGGACACCTCGTGATCGCACAGGCTGGTTGCTTCTCTGCTAGATGGCCGCCTGTTTACCTTCAAGCCTTCTTGTTTAGCTAATGTATCAATCATTTATCCATTCATTCAAATAAGTTATTTTTAAAAATATTAGTACTAAAATGAATAAAGATAATCAGTATCTGCTATGTCCCAAGCACTGTGGTAAGTTCACAGTCATTTTAAGCTAATATTTTAAGTCATATACACATCTTTCTATGTGTATATGTCAAGTGTAAATCTTGGGGGATTGTAAGGCGACCTGGTGGCACAGTGGTTAAAGTGCTCAGCTCCTAAATGAAAGGTTAGGGGTTCAAGGAAGTACAAGCTACTTCCTGGGAGGAAGATGTGGCAATCTGCTCCTATAAAGATTGACAGCCTTGGAAATCCCATGGGGCAGTTCTGCCCTGTCCTGTGGGGTCTCTGTGAGACGGAACCAACTCAACAGCAATGGGCTGGGCGTGGGGATTTAAGTTAGAACAGAAGCTTCATGAGGGTAGAGAGTTTAGTATCTTGCTACATAGTAAAAACTAAAAGATGTTTGTTAAGTGAATGAGTGAACATTGCAATAGTCAGCTCGCAAGGACTACCTGGGTAGAGATCTGACAGAGTGTGACAAAAAGGGCATTCACTCAGCAAAGAGGTGAGTCTTCACTGTGAGACCAGAACTGTGGAAATAAAGATGGTGTTCAGACTCCTTCTTTAGTCTAAAATTAAAAGAATTAAACTGTTTAGAAAGAGAGGTCATACATATAAATCATGTAGAGGAAACTCAGGATTTAGAAAAGTAGATATTCAAATTAAGAACTCTTTGACAAAGTTTGACAAGCTCAAGGCAGACATGAAGCTCAGATGATAATAGGTAAATTTTATATATAGCAGTTACTAAGGGTCCTATTACAGATATTAATTAATTTAGGCACAACAACCCTATAAGGTAGGTTCTACTGTTATCTCATCTTGCAGTGAAAAAACTGAGGCACAGAAGTTTACCAAGGTCACATAGTTACTAAATAGCAGAGCCAGAATTCTAATGCAGGCAATCCAGCCTCGAAGTCTACTTTAACTACTTTACTATATACTGTATTTAAACCATACATTGCGATATAGATGTACAACTGGCTATCCATCTCACAAGCTAACTTCAAGCTCAGTGGTTCAGACCCACCAGCCACTCCAAAGGAGCAAAGAGAAGGCTGTCTGTCCGCGTAAAGATTGCCATCTTGAAAACCCTACCTGCACAGGGTTGCTGTGGTCAGAATTGACTCTCTGATAGCAGGTTTGGTTTGGGTTTCATCCAAATTATATTTTAGTAGAAGACACTTTCTTTAAATAAATTCTTGCATAGAACCTAAATAAATAGGTGGGAACATCAAAATTTGTTATTATAAGCAGGCTTTTGTAAGTTGGCATGGGAAGAGATCCACAGACGTGCTAGACTTCCTTCTTGATCTTTCCTTCACTTCATGACACATGTCCAAACTGTAAGATTCTATGAAACAACTGAAAAGAGTATCCATTTAAGGAGATGATAGTCTCTATTTCTATTTTCACTTGTCATTCATCCTTTGGCTGGGTGTTTGTGTGTTTAGTTGGTGGTTTTTTGTTTTTGCTTTGTTACCAAAAACTTACTACCATGGAGTTGATTTTGACTCATCACAACCCTATGGGGGAGAGTAGAACTGGTACCCAGGGTTTCTGAGGCTTCAAATCTTTGTGAGAGCAGACAATGCTTAACCCATTACTCTACCAAGGTTCCTTCAATGCAAAGATAATTCATATCATATACAATGACTTTTTTCTCCCTTTTGACTATAAGAGAGTATCTTGCTGTTACTTGGTTATGGAAGTTCATTTGTCATTTCATGTAAGCATCAAAATTTATCAGCAATAATATTGTCTCAGTTTACATTACTATTACCACTCTATATGAATATTACAGTAAACAAAAGTAAATAGTGTACGGTACTTCTAACTCAGCTAGAGAATTATTACTGGATCATGTACATGTTTCATTTAGTGAATAAGTATTTTATCCTATGTTTAATAATTTTAGATGAATCTGTGAATAAAATGAATGTAGGAAATGAGTATAAAATTATTGGAATTCCAACCTGTGTCCAAACCTCACAAAGTGCTGTGTGTGTAGAGGCAAGTAGCATCACTTTTTGTAATCCTAAAGGTAAGGAAAATGCTAGTATCATAATTTTTTCAATCTATTTGTTCAGCAGATAATTAGCTAATTAGCAGATAATTAGCTACCTATATGCTATGTACTCTTGTAAGCACTACGTATCCAGTTATGATAAAGAAAGTTAAAGTGCTTGCTCTTGTGGGGCATAAATTCTATGCTAGTCAAGAAGCATATAAAGTAATCAATTATCCACTAGCTGCTCTGAGGGAGAAAGATGAGAATCTTTGCTCTTACAAAGATTGACAGTCTCAGAAACACTCTACAGGGTCACTATGAGTCAGGATCAACTCAAAGGCAGTGGGTAAAATGCTAAGTAAATTGTGGGGTCTAAGTGGGAGAACCCAATAAAACAGCATCCTTTTCTCATATGAATTCTCAACCAATTGAGAACTAAGACAAAAGTATGAGATAAATGAAAGTCAAAAAATCACCTATATTACTCACAATTTTCTTTACAAACTCCAGCATAATTAGACATTAAGTGAACAACATTTGAAATCTGATCTACTCTTTTAATTTGGCTGACAAATGTCTAGTATGAGCATCAACTCAACAGCACTAACAAAAATGATATGTACACACCTTTCTTCCAAGACATCTCTGATGTACACAGCTTCATATATATATATCCTATATCAGGAGTGGGTGGTTTTTCTGCCACAGGCCATATAGATATAACAGTATACTGGTCAAACATTTAATTAACTCATCCCTAGTGTGATGGTTGAAACTTCTCTTTGGTGAGGCAAGTAATGTTAGCCAGGATTGATAATTTCACGAGGGCCTGGCCTGCCTTATATGGCCCCAGGGCTGAATGGGCCCAAGAGCACTATATGAAAAAGAATACAGCATCAGAATTGGAGGAAGGCTCACTACCAGCCTGTGATATGCAGATGACAATCTTGTTGCTGAAAGTGAAGAGGCTTTGAAGCACTTATAATGAAGATCAAAGACTACAGTCTTCAGTATGGTTTCCAACTCAATATACAAAAAGCCAAAATCCTAACAACAGGGCCAATAAACATACCATGCTAAATGGAGGAAAGGTTGAAATGTCAAGTGCTTTACTTTACTTGGAGCCTCAATCAGCATCCACTGAAGTAGCAGTCAGTACTTTCAAAATTCACCACCACGACCACCAGTTGCTGGCAAGACTTACTGACGGCGATCCAGAGTTTTCAAGGGCTGAGCTTCCAGAAGGGTGCCTCTTAATGGACAACTTCCAACTTTTGGTTAGCACCCAAGAGAGTTAACTGTTTGCACCCCCACGGACTCCATTTCAAAATGGTATTGTTGGTTGTCATCCATTTTCTTTTTGTTTTAATCGTTTTATTAGGGGCTCATCCAACTCATCACAATCCATACATACATCAATTGTGTAAAGCACATTTGTACATTCATTGCCCTCATCAGTCTCAAAACATTTGCTCTCCACTTAAGCCCCCGGCATTAGGTCCTCATTTTTCCCCTCCCTCCCTGCTCCCCCCTCCCTCATGAACCCTTCATAATTTATAAATTATTATTTTGTCATATCTTGCCCTGTTCGACGTCTCATCCATTTTCAACAGAACAGAACAGCCCCAGAGTGTTTTATAAGCGGTAGTCTTTATGCAGATATCAGTTCTTGCAAGAATACACTGAACTGCCAACTTTTTGGTTAACCAGAGAACACCTAATTATCAAGCTACAAAAGCTCCTGGCTTTCAAAGTGTGTGTTTATCCCGTCGATTCTAACACATAGCAGCCCTGCACGCAGTGTAGCCCTGCCCTATATGATTTCTTAGGCTGAAATCTTCATGAGAGCAGAACCCCAGGTCTTTTCTCCCTTAGACAGCTGAGTTCGAACTGCTGACCTTCCCATTAGCAACCAAACATGTAACTATTACACCACCAGAGCTCCTTAATCTCAAAATCTTCCCTTTCAACAGCCACATTTTTTTGCTGCCATTCTGCTTTGTAACCCTCAATGAAGGTGGTATTATTCAAACACAGAACTATAGGAGCAAACAATAATTTGGGAAGCCCTTGTTCCGGCTTTCCTTTGTTGTTGCTAGCTGCCATAATGGTGGCCTCATGCAAAGTGGAATTAAATGCCGCCCAATCCTGAGCCATCCCCATGATTGGTTGGGGGGTCAGACTGTTAGTGTGGAAGTTCTGTTGAAGTCCTTTCAATATCATGGCAAGATGCAAACAAACCTCCATGGACAGCAGGGTGGTGGCTGCTGTGAGGAGCATTATTTGGGAATCCAAAAGGCTCTCTCTCTCATCAGAGGCAAGAACCACCACAACCCCCTGCCTGTGCTTACATGTCTTAAGAGAATGAAGTATGTGCTTGCAACCACCCAAAGCCTGTCTATGTGGACACACTAGGTTGACAGCTTACTTTTATTACATCCCCTGGGATCGAAATAATAGGCCAGTGTGACTGCCCCCCACCAGTCATAACATAATATCATGATGAGAATTCAAATATTGTATCATTAAAAGAAGTACAACTTGATAATACTTTAGACACGTGGGGTTAAAAAAATCTACCAGGGTTAAAAAAAAAAATCTACCATGGTACCTTCTTATGGTTTTACAGTCCTTTCTAATACATGTACTAATGTTTACTTTCAGTTCCTTCAGGAATTAGTGACAACTTCAGGTGTCTTCTCTCCTTAACGTCCAGCTCATGCTGGAAGTTTACAGCAATACTTGCCAACATCTTTGCATCACAAATTGTTCCTCCTGGGACTTATAATTTGCTCAAGCTCTGTTTGTTAATGAGTCTTGTACAGACAAGTGACCGTAACAAGGAACTGGAAGATTGCCTAGATGTTTTAATTATAACAAATGATACTCTACTTGTAGACAGGTAAAATAGTGGTATGAATCTGTATACTTATAAATTATATTTATAAAGGTTTTTATAAATCTTTTCCATGAGCATGACGACAAGATGAACATTTAATATATCTGAGTATATTTAAATAAACTTTTGTCCATGAAGTTTAAAACTTTTAAAACATGAATAAACGAGTTATTTGCCTTCGATATTTTAAGTCTAATATTTAAATTTTCAATGTATTTCACATCTCAGACCTTTACAAATAAATGTTTTTCTCCTGTGCTTCTTTGCCCCCTATATACTACCTCAAACTCTATAGGGCTTTTGTGCTTTGATTTCATTTTTAAATAATCTTCCCTGTAAGTGTCAGCAGAAGAGTCCTGATGGCATAGTGGTTATATGTTGAGCTGCTAACTGGCAGTTAGCAGCTCAACATATAACCACTATCAAAACCATCAACCACTCTCCAGGAGACAGAGAAGGCTTTCTACTCTCATAGTTAGCATCTCAGAAACCCACAAGGGCAGTTCTACCCTGTACTATCGTATAGGGTGGCTATGAATCGGAATGGACTTGATATCAATGAGTTTTGGTTGTTTTTGTTTGTTTTACTTTGAAAGTGTCAACAAGTCATTTTTTATTAATCTGAAATATTCCATTCAAATACTGATTCACCTACACCCAAATAGCCCATGGAGTCAATACCAAATCATGGGGACCCCCTAGGAGAGTATATAACTGTTTCATAGGTTTTCCGAGGCTGTGAATCTTTATGGAAGCGGTCTGCCTTATATTTATCCCTTCAAACAGCTGGGGGGGTTCAAAACTTGGGCCTTTTTGGTTAGCCCCCCAACACATAACCCATTATGCCACCAGAATTTCTATACACAAATAAACCTCTGGAAAGAATTCTAAGATTGCCATTTGGGGGGAATCTTGAAAGGATCCTCTATTCAGCATTTTGAAAGCTACATACATGCATATAAAGCAACTCTGTATGTGTCAGAGTAAAACTGTGCTCCATAAAAGTTTTAGTGGTTGATATTTTGAAAGTAGATTACTAGGCCTTTCTCTCATAGCATCTCAAAGTAGACTCACACTTCTATCCTTTAACTGAGCATGTTAACTGTTTTTTCCAGCTAGGAATAAGTTCTTTTTCCATGTTAATATCTTGTATGGAATTCTAAAATCAAAATACATGTATCCAATGAACTTTAAAATAAAAACCCAAATGAACATTAATTGCACAGTTGATGTTTTGCTAAGACTAAATTGCCACCAACAATATAATACAGTGCTAACTACTACAGATTGTACCAATTTTTTCTTCCACTAATAAAGCAAGAAGGAGTCCTGGTAGTTTAGTGGGTTAAGTGTTGGGCTGCTAACCTACAGGTTGGCAGTTTGAACGGAGCAGATGCTCTGTGGGAGGATAAAGGGGTTTGCTTATGTAAAGATTTACAACTGCAGTATTTTAGGGAGCAGCTATATTCTGCCTTATCAGATCACTATCTGTCAGAATCAACTCAATGGCAGTGTGTACATGGATATTCTCAAGCCATGGTAACACAGTGGTGCTCAGCGGCTAACCGAAAGTTGGGTGCTTTGAACCCACAAGCCACCCCTGGGAGTAGATGTGGCCTTGGCGATCCGATGGTGCAGTTCTACCCTGTCCTCTACAGTTGCTACATATCAGAACGAAGTTGACAGTAATAAGATTGTTTGGGTTTATAGGTAATTCTTAAGACATTATTTTAATACTTACCTATTTTTGTTTATGTGTCTCTTTCTAGGCTGTGAGTTTTCCAAGTTAAGGGCTAAGTCTTACATGCATTTTTATTCTTGGCATCTAAATAGCCTATCTGAACTACTCAATAAACATTGTATTTTGTAATTGTTGATATTTTATGACCTCTGATGATCAAATATTAAGTAATAGTAATTAATAATGTATTTTTCCCCTAGGCTTTTGAAATTCAGTATAAACCTTGTACCCCGTGGTATACATCATCCAGTTTCTTCTGAAATTTTTCCTACTCTATCCAGGAATAAGTATGGAACTGGAGGAGTTAGCATTCAAGCGGGTAGTGCTTTGTTAGCTAAAGGTGCTATCTGCTATATAGGAGACTTATCTTTACACAAAAAAGATAAACTTGAACAACTTCAATCAGGTAAGTAGTTTTTTAAAATTACTTTTCACTTATTTAACCTACAGTTTCAGCATTGTCAAGAAGTTGTCTAAAAGTTCTAGGAATTGAGAAAGTATAATAAATAATATTTATTTCAGTTTTATAAATAAAGCCGGAGAATTCTAATATGCATATGCAGAGTTTTAATTTTTGCTCTAAGTTGTGCTAACACAAGACTTTATTTGGTCTAGATTTATACCTAAAAAGTAAGTAGACAGATATGGACAGAGCAAAGAGCAGTTAGAGCTTTGTACTCTTGGCAAACTTCATGTGCCAAGATCAAAGTAATAATAGACCATGCAAACTACAGCCTCTACTAGCAGTTGGCAAGGAGAAGTTGATGATGCTGACTAGTATATGGCCCTACTACTACTGATCTTACTGGGACCACAGAAGGTCTGTTCAGAATGAAAGAAAACTATAGAACAAAATTTAAAATTATAATAAAGTTCAGACTTGCTGGTCTGATTGAGACTGGTAGAACCTCCAAGACTGTGGCCCTTCGATCCCCTTGTAACCTGGAGTTGAGCCCTTGTCAATGAATTACCTTGCAACCGAGCAATAGGCAGGCCTATGAAGTGAGCAGTAACACCCATGAAAAACATTCTCCTCAGAACAATCAACAATACAAGACTAAAAAGGCAGTATGTATCCCTAAATAAGGTTCAGAAAGTACAGAAGAAAGGGTGAGTAGGAATGAAGAACCCAGGAAAGATGCAGGAGGAGTACCGTTAAATTAAGAGAACTGCAACTAATGTTGTGAAACAAAATGTGTATAAATTTTAACCTGAAAAACTATTTTTCTCTGTAAATTTTTATACAAATCACAATTTAAAAAAGAATGTGCAAGGATGCTGAGGACACTTGGCATAGTACTAAGAGAGTGCAGGAAGGAATTTTTTACCATGATGCCAAAAAAAGTCAGTGGAGAAAGGCAAGTTTGTCAACAAATGCTAAAGAAATAAAGGGCCAGTAAATTTTGAAAAGTGAATCTCTATTCATACATCAAAATCATACACAATAATTAGTTTGAAATGGTGTGTTAGGCTGGGTTTTCTAAAGCAGTAAAACCAGTGACATCTATATATATTTTAAAAACTTTCTGTCAAAAGAATGGCCCACACAGCCACAGAACAGGCAAGCCCAGTTTGGCATAAATCTGTGGTTCAGATGCTAAACTGGAGGCCCATCTTGACTCATGAAGCTGCCAGGCCAGGGAACCACGAAGCAGGGAGATGAACCAGGAGACAAGAGGACAAAGCAGGAAGACCACAGTTGGTGTAAACAGAGGTGGATTGGCAAGTCAGGTGTTAGGCTCTGATGACTTTATGGTCAGTTGGCAATATGATGAGCTGTTGGTAGCTCCCAGGACCAGCAGGATACACGACAGGCTGCTAATCCAGGTCCCAAGTAGCCTGATGCAGGATCCAGACCAGTAGGAAGAAACAGAGAGGGGAATTTTTCACATTGTCAGGTTATATACATGAAGTAGGCCACGCACCCCCAAAAAACACCAAC